TATTTATTATAGGTTTCTGGTTTGTGATTACCAGGAGGTTCATATATAATAATCTATGTATATAGCAATCTATATTAAGTTGATGGTCTCTTTTGTTTGACCTCTTTCTAAAAGCTCTACTCTTTTACTCCCCTCCTCCCACATTTTGTTTTTGATATCATATCTAACCTCTTATTTTGTGTGTGTATATCCATTACCCTCTCATCATTGAAGTAGGTAATTTTAGTACTTTTGTCTTTTGACCTTCATATTATCTTCGTTGGTGGTTGACCTACTAACTTTACTGTATTTTTGCCTTTACCAGTGATTTTATTGCCTTTTTTATTTTTTGATAGTTTTCTTATTCCTCTTTGTGGTCTTTTCTTTCCCACTTAAGTCCTTTCAGCATTCCTCGCAGAAGTGGTTTCCTGGTGATAAACTCCTTTAATTTTTGCTTGTCTAGGAAACTCTTTATCTCTCCTTGCATTCTGAATGATAACCTTGCTGGGTAGAGTATTCTTGGCTGCAGGTTTTTTCCTTTCAGCCCTTTAAATATATCATGCCACTCCCTTCCAGCTTGTAAGGTTTCTGCTGAGAAGTCAACTAATAGCCTTATGGGGTTTCCTTTTTACGTCACTTCTTGCCTTTCTCTTGCAGCTTTTAGGATCCTCTCTTTATCTTTGATTTTGGAAATTTTAATTATAATGTGTCTTGGTGTGGGCCTCTTTGGGTTTATCTTGTTTGGTGCTCTCTGTGCTTGGTACCTGGATATCTGTTTCCTTCCTTAGGTTAGGAAGGTTTTCAGCTATTACATTTTCAAATAGATTCTCTGACCCTTTGTCTCTCTCTTCTCCTTCTGGGATACCTATAATATAAATGTTAGTGTGCTTGATGTTGTCCCAGGGTTCCCTTAGGCTATTCTTGTTCTTTTTAATTCTTTTTTCTTTTATCTGTTCAGCTTGGGTGATTTCCTCTAGTCTTTCAACCAGCTTGCTGATCCATTCTTAGGTATCATTTACTCCACTATTGAGACCCTCCAGTTAATTTTTCATTTCCAGTATTGTATTCTTCATTTCTGATTGGTTGTTTTTCATATTTTCCAATTCTTTGTTGATGTTCTCACCGAGTTCTTCCATTCTTTTCTCAAGATCAGTGAATATCCTTATGACTTATTGTTTGAACTCTATGTCAGGTAGATTATTTATTTCTGTTTCATTTAGTTATTTTTCTGGGGTCTTTTCCTGTTCCCTTGTTTGGAAAGTATTCCTTTGCCTCTTTGTTTTGCTTCTTTCTCTGTACTTATATATATATAATATATATATATAATATACATTATAATATATATATTATATAAGTATATATATACTATGTGGGTCAGCTATGTCTCCTGATCTTGGAGAGGTGGACTTATGTAAGAGATGCCTTATGAAGCCCAGCAGTTTGCTTCCCTCTTGTCACCAGTATCAAATGTTACAGGGGTGTCCCCTGTGTGAGCTACGTGTGTCCTTCTTTTGTGGCAGGGAGGCTAGGCTGTCCCCCCTGCCAGCTGGTTGTAATGATCAGCTGCATGTGGTTGCTATGGACCCTTCAGGCACTTTTTCAGGTTTGGGGAGCCCCAGCACATTTGGGTACAATGTATAATAGCACATTACTGTTGAAGTTTTTCTGTCAATTGAGTAGGCCCCCAGTGTGGCTGGCTGCTAGGCTCAGGGGCTTACAATTGATATAGGCCACTGGCCTGCTAAGCTGTTGTCAGCTGTCTCAGGATTGTAGCTGAGTGGGGCTGGCCCCAGGCATAGGAGCAACCAATTGTTTCAGGCTTTGGGAGTGGGGCTGGTCCCCTATGTGGCTGTTTAAGAAGCACAGGTCTTCTGCTGCTGACAAGCCCCATGCCCCACAGGTCCACACACACTGTAAACACCGTCCTGGCCCATGCACATGTCCTGACCTCCTGAAGCAGACCCAGTTGTACCACTGCAGAGGCCCCCACACACTCTACCTGCACACACCCTGCCCTGCAGAGGCAGACCCACTTGCCTGCCTGCAGAGGCTCCAGGGACCCAGTCTATGCAGGCCAAGAAGTTGCCCAAGGGCTTGCTGTTGGGAGAGGCCAGTCCCTAGGGTGGGCTGCCTGCCCTGGCTGAGCTGTATTAAATTAGTGCCATAGTGGGTGTGGCAGACCCCTGGGCCAAGAGGCCAGGGGAAGAACTCCAATGGTATCTGCCAGTGTGTGTCAGCATGCCTGTACTAGGTTACAATAATGGCTGCAACCAATGTCTCAGTCCCTGAAGAGCTCTCACCTCTCACCAAGAGGTGCCCAGAGCCTATCAGCTGAGTCTCTTTCAAGAAAAGACTGTGCACCTTTCTTTCTGGGTGACTTTAGGTTGCTTTCTGAAATGGGTGAATTTGTGTGTGGGCCTCTTAAAAGCTGACTTTTTTTTGCTTATGTCTGATATCTATTCGGGGGGTATTCCCCATTGTAGTTAATAGCTGGCAAAGCCCAATATTATGACATGTCTCAATTGTGCTGAGTCCGAAGAATGCTTATAGTGGCATCAATCTCTCGCTCAGGTTCCCCTCTCCTCCAGGGAAGGCTTCATACCTTAGGATTGCTCCCAGCCAGCCATGAAGCTCTGTGGCTCACAAAAGTAGCCTTTTTTCTCCCAAGAAAAGAATTTCTGCCTCTTCCATCTCTGTCAGGATGGTTCCCTATTGCTGGGGTTATTTTTATCCAGTTTTCAGTGCTCTCTCAGGAGTAATTATTCTAAGAATAGTTGTAAATTGGTTGAGTTTGTGGGAGAAGGTGAGTTCAGAGTCTGCCTACACCATCATCTTGACACCAACCTCGTCTGCCCATTTTTAAATCACTTTTTTTTGTTACTATTGAGTTGTAAGAATCTTTTATACATTCGCATTTTAAATCCTTATCTGATATATAGTTTGAAAATATTTTCTCCCATTTCAAAGATTGTCTTTTCATTTTGTTGATTGTTTCTTTTGCTGTGCAGAAGCTTTTTGGTTTGATGTAGTCCCACTTGTTGATTTTCACTTTAATTGCTTGTGCTTTGGCTATCATATCCAAAAAAGTCACTGGTGAGACCAATGTCAAGGAGCTCTCTCTCTGTTTTCCACAAAGAGTTTTATGGCTTCAGGTCTTACATTTAAGTCTTTAATCCATTTCAAGTTAAATTTTGTGAGTGGTGTAAGATAGGGGTCCAATTTCATTTTTCTGTGTGTGGTTATCCAGTTTTGCCAATACCATTTATTGAAGAGACTATCCTTTCTCCATCGAGTATTCTTGGTTCTCTTGTCAAATATAAGTTGTCTGTATAGGCAGGGGTGATTTGTTGGCTCTTGATTCTGTTCCATTGGTCTACATGTCTATTTTTATGCCAGTACCCTACTGTTTTCATTACTATAGCTTTGCAGTATAGTTTGAAATGAGGAATTGTGATGCCTCTAGCTCTATTGTTCTCTCTCAGGATTGCTTCAGCTATTCAGGGTCTTTAGTGGTTACCTATGAATTTTAAGATTTTATTTTCTATTTCTGTGGAAAATGTCATTGGAATTGTGATACGGATTGCATTTAATCTATAGACGGCTTTGGGTAGTTTTGGCATTTTAACAATATTAATTCTTCAGATCTTTAAACATGGATATCTTTCCATTTATTTGTTTCTCCCTCAATTTCTTTCATCAGTCTTATAGTTTTTAGGGTACAGATCATTCATTTCCTTGGTCAAATTTATTCCTAAGTATTTTATTATTTTTAATGCTACTGTGAGAGGATTGTTTCCTTTATTTCTTTTTCAGATATTTTGTTGTTAGTGTACAGAAATGCAACTGATTTTGGTATGTTGGCTTTTGTGTCCTGCAACTTTACTGATTTTTTGCTTGGTTCTAACAGTTACTTGGTTGAGTCTTTTTTACACATTTTCTACACATGAGATCATATCATCTGCAAATAAAGACAATTTTACTTCTTCCTTTCTCATTTGGATGCCTTTTATTTCTTTATCTTACTTCATTGCTCTTTCTGGGACTTCCAGTACTATGTCGTTACACTACTAAGTTGAATAGGAGTAGTGAGAGTGGGCACACTTGTCTTCTTCCTGACCTTAGAGAAAAAGCTTTTAACCTTTCACTGTTGAGCATGATGTTAGCTGTGGGTTTGTCACATATGACCTTTATCATGTTGAGGTATATTCCTTCTATACCAAATTTGTTGAGAATATTTATCATAAATGGATGTTGGATCTTATCAAATGCTTTTTTGGCATCTGTTGAGATGATCATATGATTTTTTATCTTTCTTTGTATTAGTGTGGTGTATCACATTGATTGATTTGCAGATGTTGGACCATCCTTGCATCCCTGGAATAAAACCCAGTTGATCATGGTGTATGATCTTTTTGATGTGCAGTTGAAATCGGTTTGTTAATATTCTGTTGAGAATTTTTACATCTACATTCATCAAGGATGTTGGGTGTAGTTTTATTTTCTTGTAGTGTCCTTATTTGGCTTTGGTATCAGGGTAGTACTGGCCTCATACAATGAGTTTGCAAAGTAAACATTATTAATCCCTTTTGATAAATGTAGATGCTGACATTTGGAGAGGTTAGGTAATGTACCTAAAGTCACACAGATAGTTAGAGACAGAGCTTGGATTGGCTCTCAAACCTCTATTCTTAAGCATGGGAGAAATGCCTCCCCAAGAGAGAATTTCTGGTCCATTGTAAAGACTTCTTAGAGGAGGAGTATTTAAGTCAGGACTTGAAAACAAATGTGAGCACAGCAGAGTTGAGAGGTGAGGGCAGAGGCCAGGATCAAAGGTCATATCCTTATACATTCTCAAACCCCATGTGGGAGCAGAGGGGGGCCATTTTGGGGTTGGGAGGTGCTGTTCTCTCAAATCAACTGGAGTGATGTTTCAGTTGTCCTGGGAGCAGGGCAGAGACCTCTGGGGCATGTGGCCTGGCTGGTGCTGAGCTCCTTGTCCTCCATCTCCTTGAGCACTGTAGGTGGGGAGCAGAATGGTGATTGTTGCTGCAGGCTGTGTGCTGCTCCTGATGGGAGTATTTGGGAAGATTGGGGCTGCATTTGCAACTATCCCAACACCTGTGATCGGAGGCATGTTCCTGGTGATGTTCGGGGTCATCGCTGCTGTGGGAATTTCCAATCTGCAGGTGAGGCGAGGCACCTTTGGAAAAGGAGCAGCATTGCATGCCCTGAAAGGAGCCCATGGGGACTGAGATGAATGGAACAGGGCTAGGGCAGGGGTGAGTAAGAGGAGGGGATCCTTGGTCTCAGGAACCACCCTTGCCCCTAAATCGAAGAAATAAATAGCCAGAAACATCCAAACTTCTGAAAAACAGAAATTGCATCAGCTTGAATTGGATTATGTAAACCACTCAACTCCCAAGGTCAAGTGGGAATTGGGGCCTGGCTTGTCTGCTGAAAGCATGTGTCACTCTGAGTCCAGCCTCGCTCCCCACCTCTGGTAGTGGTGGGAGGGGAGGGGGCATTTGAGGATATTAGACTGATATGCAGTACAGATGCTGATGGTTGTGGGCTGCCACGGGGCCCTCTCTCCTGCAGTACGTGGACATGAACTCATCCAGGAACATTTTTGTCTTTGGCTTCTCCATCTTCTGTGGGCTTGCCGTTCCCAACTGGGTGAACAAGAACAGTGAGAAGCTCCAAACAGGTGATTCTCCCTCCTCTAGACTGTGACCACTCCAAGGGCAGATCCAGTGGGGCCCTTTGTCCCTGGGAATCCCCATCACTTTTGTCTCTACTCTAGGGATTCTCCAACTGGACCAGGTCATCCAGGTGCTGCTGACCACGGACATGTTTGTAGGCGGATTTCTGGGCTTTCTACTGGACAACACCATCCCAGGTAAGGCTCACCTTCCCTCTATAAGCCAGAAATTCAGGTACATGGTAAACATTTGGGCCACTCACATTACTTCTCAGCCCCTGATGTGGCCAGCCATCTTAGGCTGGCCACAGCATACCTTGAGGAGACCCTGGGTCTGGGTGTGGTGTACTGGCATTTATTAGGTTCCTAGGGTTGCCATAACAAAATACCAAAGACTGGGGTGCTTAACCAAGTGAAATGTATTTTATTACAGTCTAGAGGCTGGAAGTCTGTGATCATGGTTTTGGCAGGGTTGGTTTCTCCTGATACCTCTCTCCTTCCCTGCAGATGCCCACCTTCTTGTAGTGTCCTCACATCCCTTTTCCTCTGGTTATGTGCATCCCTGGTGTCTCTCTCTTTGTTCTAATTTTCTATTCTTAGAAGGATGCCAGTCAGATTAGATTAGGGCCCACTCTGAAGACCTCATCTTTAACTTAATCACCTCTTTCAAGGTTCTGTCTCCCCACACAGTCACATTCTGAAGTATGGGGGGTTAAGGCTTCAACATATGACTTTTGGGAGTACACAGTTCACACCATAACAAGGCCCTAAGGTGAGAAATACACCAGAAGCGGGAAAAAAAAAACCCACAAGCTCATCCTCAGAGCCTGCAGTCTAGTTGTTGAGGGAGAGAATACAAGTATTCATTCATTCATTGATCCGTTCATTCATTTTTTTAATAAAAACCCATTGAGCACTTGCTGTATTCCATATGGCATGTATCGAGAATACAAGGAGCAGAAAGACATGCCTCTGCCTCCCAGAGACCCAAGGCGAACAGGAGAGAGAGACAAGAAAACAGACAATTACAACTCTGGTTAATAACTGTGATGATGAACCGAGTGAGTAAATAAGTGCTGAGGACATTGAAGGTGAAGGGTGCAGAGCTGCCATCACTGACGGCTTTCAGTCCTCCCTTCTGGATCCTCCTACGGCCTCTTGACAGGCCCTCTAGGATAGCCCCTGCCTCATGGTATTCTGTTTTCCACATTTCTTCTCTCTACCACATGTAAAATGCATCTTCATTTCAGAAACATTAAATGTGGAAAGGCCCACTCCTGAAGATGAGGAAAGGATGGTGTTTCATATAAGATTGTGCCCCGGAGCTCTGGATCACATCAGCCCCACAGGGGGATCTCAGGGAATGCTTGATGAGCTGAGCTGTGATTCTTGAGATGGGCTTGGAGGAGGAGGAGGGGGCCCTTTTGGCAGGTGGAGGGCAGTGACAGGAGACCTCATGAGTGCCTGCAGAGGGTGCTGGAGGCTCCCTCCAGCCCATGTCTGCCCAGCTCTATCAGGGCTCAGTCTTGACTGCTCACTGTCTCCTGTTAGGAAGTCTGGAGGAGAGAGGCCTCCTGACATGGAATCAAATCCATGAGGAGTCTGAGGAGACTGCGAAGGTGTCAGAGGTCTACGGCCTCCCCTGTGGGATTGGCACAAAGTTCTGCACTTCCTCCTATACCCGGTACCTCCCCTTCTGGCCCAAACTGGAACATCGTGGGAGAGCTGAGGTGGGAGCGTGCCAGCTTACCCTCTACTCCCAGGATTCCTCAGGAGAGTGCCTCAAAGTTGCCACAGAAACCAAGATGTAAGGAGAACTCTCTGCACTGTGGGTTGGAATGTAAATTGGTAAAACCACAATGGAAAACAGTATGGAGGATCCTCAAAAATTTAAAAACAGCCACATGACCCAGCAATTCCACTTCTGGGTATTTATCTGAGGAAAATAAGAACACTAATTCAAAAACATATATACATCCCCATGTTCATTCCAGCATTATTTACGATAGCCAAGATATGGAAACAACATATGTCCATTGATGGATGAAGATAGTGTGGTGTCTATATATATATGTATGTATGTATATATCTGTATATATACACACACACATACACACACAATAGAATATTATTCAGTCATAAAAACAAATGAAATCTTGCAACTTGTGACAACATGGATGGACCTCGAGGGCATTATTCTAAGTGAAATAAGTCAGACGGTTCTGCCCTGGTGCAGCAAGAGTAGTGGCCACAGGGTCCAAATTCCCTGCTAAGCCACATAGGAGATCTCTGTGAAACTTGTTAGGGCCCTTTTGGCTGGAAATTAGAAAAGTGTAACTCAAAACATGGGAGATGGGATTTATTGGTTCTTGTAACTAGGAAGGAAGGATACCGGGAGAACTTACAAAACCATAGAAGGAATCCTATGAACAAAGGATGATACAGGTAGATAGTATAAAATCCAAAAGGTCCAGGAGAGCATACATGAACAGCAAGTCTGTCTCCCACCTCTGTCTGCCCCACCCTGTAGAAAATCTACAAGGGGGCACTTAGTTTTACCTTTTCCCCCAGCTTCCTTTTTACAATTCTTGACTCTGCTCAGGCCTATGCAGCTACCCCTGGCAAACTTGAGACATCCATGCTGTGACCATCCAACAATGAAGCTCACGGCAGCACAACCTGGCCCCAAATCCGGACCCCACTGCTCCATCTACAGTGGGATGAGTCACTTTGCTACAACAAGGAGGAAGGATGTGGGTACTCCTCTTTCATAAGAATGGCCAATGCACACTGAATTCATCTAAATCTTACAAAGATCCCCTCAGATTGGTCACTTTTATTATCCCTGTTTTACAGACAACAAAACAGGGTAGAGAGAGGCTCAAGGTCAGAGCTAGTAAAAGCTATGGTCAGGATTTGAACCCAGCCCATCATGCTATTCTGGTGCGCTCTGGAATCTCAGATGCCTGAGCCAGAGGGAGGGAAGTTCCTGATCCAGACCCTGCTCACCCACCTTCCCGTCCTTGCCAATGCTGTACACGGTGTTCTCGTCGTAGCTGAACTCCACCGAGTAGACCTCCCCGCAGTGGGCCCTCCAGCTCATCGCGCACTCGTGCTGCTGCATATCTGAGGCAACAGACGCCACTAAGATTCCCGCCCGGGCCCTGGGGAGGCATCTGCCCATGACAGGAGGCACCTGCCGAAGAGGCCAGGCTGCCCCTGAGCCTCACAAGCAGCTTCTTTCCCTAGGTCATAAGTAAGGTTCAGCAATCCCTGGGCAGAGCCCGTATGTCTAGGAGGACACACAAGTCCTTCCTAGGAGGCCTCTGTAACTTCCCACCAGGGCACCCTGGGGATCTGTTAAAGACACAGTCACTAGTCCCATCCCAGACCCTCCGACTCTGGGTCTCCTGGGACAGGCGCAGCATGAACATATTTAAACAGCACGCCAGATGATTCCAGTGCACACTGTTGTAATGCTTTTATGTTATAATCAACTAGCCGCACCAAGAGGACAGGACAGCATTACTCTCGTGTGTCCTCTTGTCCTCTTGGATCTCACTTAGGCCTGAGGACTCAGATGGAACAGCTCAAGACAGATGGGCTGCTAAGCTCCACCCCTCCTGCGTCCACTGAAACTGACCATGTGCAAGGTGATTACAGAGGGTGTTCTGGAAACAGCAGACCCTGACCAAAGTTAATCTCTATTATGAGCATCTTGAATTGGGTTTGCTAGCCTATAGTCCAGCGGGAAAAACCCAGCTCTCTTCCCTGGGCCATTTAAGGAGGGGACCAGGATTGCCATGAGCACACTTGCTTACCAAACAGCCGGATGACGCCGTCAGCCGCCCCTGTGACCAGCAAGTTCCCATTGTGATTGAAGGCTGTGCAGTTGATAGCAATGGGCTCTGGATCCAGGGAGAACTGGAGCTAGCAAAAAACAAATAAATAAATTAATTAAAAAATTTAATGGAATAATAAGCCAAAATTCAAGACAGTTCTCTCTGATAGGAGGTAGGAGACAGAGATTGGGGAGGGGCACACAAAAAATACTGGTAATGTTTCATTTTTAAACTGTCGTGGTATATAGGTGCTTATTTTACTGCTTTTCTTCTCATTATACCATATATCTATGATTCCAATATTCTCCTGTATGTATTCAATATTTACTTTGTAATTTTAAAATAACAAGTGAACATAAATTACAAATCATAGTAAGTGCCTTGAGGAAAACAGCAAGATTAAGAAGGACCTAATTAAACTGAGTTGTATACAGGAAAGCTTCTAAGAGATGCGGGAGGACAGATGTCTGCCAGACAGAGTGGGCTAAGAACCCTCTGGAGAGGGGACAGCATGCAGGAAGGGCCTGCGGTGCAGGAGGAGAAGGGCAGGAAGTACCAGGAGGCTGGAGCGTGGGGAGGAGTGGACCATGCAGGGCCTGAGGGAATTCGGATGGGAAACCTGGCAGAGCAGGAAGGAGAATGACTTGCTGCACTGTCTGCCTACCCCTGGCGGGGGGTGGGGTGGGGAGTACAGGGTGTGGTGGCCACAGTAGGAGGTCCTGCAGCTGTCCGCTGAGGGGCGCTAGAGAGCAGGTCTAGGGTGTGTCCCTGGAAGTGCATAGATGTGGTCAGACTGGAAACACATCTTGGAGGTGGAACTGACAACGTTTGCTCATGGATTGATTGTGCAGGGTGAGGGAGAAGGATGGGCCTAGAAAGGCACAGTTTCTCAGTGGGACGCATTTGCCAAGATGAGGAAAACGAGAGGAGGAACAGGCGTGGTGGGGCGCGGGGGTCAAGAATTCGGGTGTGGCCCTGATGGGCTAGAGACACCTGTGAGACTTCCGGATGGGAATTTACACCATTTCTACCTACCGGCAGATGCAGTGAGGAGCAAACCGAACACTCAGAACACAGGCCACCTGTAAGACAGGGACCCTTCAAGTGTCCAGCAACATCAGGAAACAATCTGTTTAACTTAAGGCCACACCACTTCTGAGCACCAAAACTAACTTTAATAAGAAACATCACTGCCTTTTAAAGAAGTGACTTTAAACATCATTTAATCTCCCTAGGCCTTCGGGTCACAGCTGCAAGCATCTACTGTTCTGGGCGGGAACAGGTCCTCAGCTCCTGAGGAAGGTGGGCCACGTGGCCCCATGAGCAAGCTTTCACACGGCTGTCACTTCTCAAGAATACGCATGTGTCCTCACTACTTCTAGCTGCTGCTATAATTTTTAAGCAATTCTAAGTTAACAGGGAGTCAGAAGGAGATTCCAGTGGTCTCCTAAAAAATCAACCACTTGAACGCACGATATTAAGTGAAAGAAGCCAATCTGAAAAGGCTGTGTGATTGCAACTAGATGATATTCTGGAAGAAGCAAGACTATGGAGACAGTACAAAGATCCGCAGCTGCCAGGGGTAGGCAGGAGGAGGGATGAAGAGGTGAAGCACAGAGGATTATTAGGGCAGTGAAAATTCGCTGTATGATATTATCATGGGGGATACGTGTCATTACACATTTGTCCAAACCCACAGAATGTTCAAAGCAAGAGTGAACCCTAATGTAAACCGCGGACTTTGGGTCACTATGACAAGTCAGTGCAGATGCATCAAGTGTAACAAACGTATCACACTCCGGTGGGTTGTGCACAGTGGGGGAGGCTGTGCACATGAAGGCGCAGGGCCTACCAGGGAAATCTCTGTGCTTTCCTCTCAGTTTTGCTGTGAACTTAAAACTGCTCAAAAATAAATGAAGTCTTTACAGATAAACAAAAATTAAATAAATTTTTTTTTTAAATAGCCACAAGGGCCCTCTAATAGGCTGTGTGTGACTTCTCAGTTTGTGGCACAATTCTGAATGACTTAGGTTGCTAGCAATCTGCCCAAACAGGGTAGGACTCCTTTTCAACACTTCAACTCTCAAATTTCCTGACAAATCAAAACCTGAGGAAACCAAAGCAAAGAGAGTGAAAAGACTCAGAAGTAGAGTCTGGGAGGGTGACAGCCCCAGGGAGACCCCAGGAGCAGGGCCAGTACCTGCTGCTTCATGGTTTTCGTGTCCCACAGCAACAGCTTGCCAGGAACCTGGTTAGTGCCCTTGCTGCCGATGTCCGGGGCCAAGAAGTCCCCCTGAGAAGTGAGGCTCGGAGCCGCAGCCGAACAGACGAAAGAGGCCCCACTGGGGCTGCACGCGAGAGACAGGATTCTGCAACACTCGTGGGGCTGGTCAGCACTGCACCCGCCACAGAGGAAGGATGAGCTATGCCTCTGAGGCTGGGCCCTGCTACAGGAGACAGGGCAAGAGCCTCAGCAAAGGACCAGGCCCACAGGGCACAGTGAGTGGGGGCCGGCCAACAGCTCACCTGGGCATATCATCGTGGATAGTGATTTCACAGAGATTCTTCTTGGCTTCCGTCTCTTAAAGGCGCACTGTCCCCATGCCACTGCCCAGCAAGAGCTGGAATGAGAAAGCGTGGGAGGTGTGAAGAACAGCCCAGGGTCAGGCTGGTCAGGAAGGACCACTGTGGGCCAGGCCCCCTCTTGTGAGGGACCAGTCTGGGCAGGCTGCAGGGGTGAGGCCCCGGCACTTCTCCAGGTAGATCAGTGAAATCTGGCTAAAAAGGACCTCCTTGAAATCTTATAAAGACATGAGAGCTGATCTTGAACACAAGCAGAATCACAAAAGGAATCTGGATGGCAGAGAGGCATCACCTCAGATGTGCAGTAGTGGGAATGTTCTAGCTGACTAAAGAAGACCCTCTGATCTGCCCTCCTTTTCTTTCCGTTTGAAATCCCAGCTGTTCCAGACCTTCCCTCTCGCTCCTGACTTCCCCTACCACCTCCCTAGGTCCCGGCCCTGGTGCTCCCCGGGCCTGGGTCACTGCCCCGTGTGCGTGTTCTGGAGACAGCTTCAGCTTGGGTCTGTGGAGGCCTCTAGAAAAAGCAGAAGCAGCTCTCCTTGCCTTCAGGAATTTGTGATTTAATGGTGAAAAGCTTCAAAGGTAATAACGAGTACTGCCAGAAGAAAGCACCAGAGGCAGGTCTGAGGGTGTTCCCAGGAGCGTCACCCACGTTATGACCTCGGCATTCACTGGGCAAATCACACTGGTGTGGGGAAGCTCCTGCAGATAATTCCTGCAGCTGCCAGAAATTACAAAAAAATAAGGTTTTCCCCATGTGGGGCCTGTTATGATCCCCTCAAAATGAACACAACGAAAGAAAAAAACTATAAATCAACTTTGCCTGCTTAACTACAGATCCTATCGCAAATATTAAAGTCCAGAAGGAGGAAGACTCTCCTAACACGACTGCGTTAGACCTGTAACGAGACAGGACACCACCCACAGCTGAAGCTGCTTCCCTCGGGGCTGGCACAGCGAGAGGTCTGAGCAGCAGGTGGGAGCCGCTGAGAATGTTTGTGGTGGGTTGTTAGAAACGCGGACAGACGACAGGAGCTAATGGGGGAGAACAGGAAGGTAGCGGGTCCCTCCCAGGGCAGATAGAGAGGGGACCAGACCACCACAGGTAGGAAGATGGCCTGTGCCGTCTGACCGGAGAGCTTTCTCCAGGCCCCACCGCAGTCTAATTTCAATTCTGTGAGTCCAGTACCCTCCCTGTTGCCCCCAGACAGAAGCCTGCTGAGACAGTCTTGGATGTGTGGTCCCCAAACTCCCAATGAGAGAGAGAAGGGAGGCAGCCTAGCTTGGCTGATGCAACTCAGCCTGTGGTGCCAGAGGCGATGGTGGAGAGCCCTGGGGAATTTGTCACTTAGACCGCAGAGCGAGCACGAGGCAAGACGTTACTCACCAGCCTGTCCCGCTTGGTGGCCCACTCTAGAGAGAGCAGCGGTGACTTGGAGATGGAGGACGCTTTGGTCTGCATGATGGGATTGAAGGACCACACCTTGATGACCCCGTCTACGTCTAAGCTGGCGACCCTCCTCCCCGAGCAGTCCACTCTAAGGCCAAAGAAAGAGGGAAGCTGGTAGCATCCTTGCCTCAGTCGGCCACCTCCTCAGCTAACATCCAGGTGATAGCTGTTCTGACTTGCCAATTGTTTTAAAAAATAATCACCAATTGCCTACACACCAAGGATGGGCATGGACGATTTCCAGAAATATTCACTCACTCATTTGTCCAAGAACTAACTACCTATGAAGCAGCCACTGTCTGCCGAGCCCTGTGGGTAACCCTGGGGACAGGACAGTGGGCAAGATGTCCCCGGCCCCGTGCTCAGCACTCGCAGGCTCTGGAGACTGAGAGCCTCCAGCCTCACAGCTCCGGAGCCCATCAGGGCTGTCAAAGCAAGGAACCCACCGACCCTCTGTCCACCCCAGGAGGGTCTGTTCATGAAAGGGCAGGTTTTTACCATGTAAAATATTTACCATGTCAAATATTTACCTGAAAGTACCCACATAAAGCAAATTAAAGTTGAGTGAGTCTAAAGTTGAGTTAAATAAGAGGTAACTTGTTCCTAAAGCTCAGACTCCAATGGTTAGAAAGGATGGAGAGGTTTACCAGGCCAACAGCAGCTCTGAGCAGGACCCCCGATGACAGCTGCCGTGCCCTCCTCTGACTGTTCAGGGGTGACCACGGTCCTTCTGGGACCATCCCACCATCTGTACCTCTGTTCTCCCCCATCCTCCTGCCTGCCACACCTTCACAGGCACAGCCCGAAAAGACCAGCCCCCACCCCGGTCAGTGTACTCCCTGGTGGGTCTCGCCCCCACCCGAACCCACCTGCAGTGCATGATGGAGGAGTGGTGCTCTCCGTACTCCTCCTGGCCCAGCACAGTGAATGGCTGCTCGGGGTGGACCCCTCCGCCGTCAGGGCCTGCTGTGGAGGCCCGTGTCAGCGTCTCCGCCGCCTCCACGTGGAGCTCTGGGCAGGGCTCTCCCTCTGGGCCACTGGCTTCAGGCTTCTTCTCTGCACACTGTGCAAAACAAAGTGGGACAAGTCACTGTGACGGGTCTGCTCTGGGCTCGGCCTCACCTCCTCCGGGGACACACAATGGGATATCCAGAACGCTAGGCCACAGCACAATGAGGGAGGTCTTGTGGTCTCAGAGCCTAGAGGAGAGCTCTGAACTGCCAGAACAGTGCCCACTCACCCCTGGAAAGGCAGGGGCCCGCTTCACCGACGGCCCCTTTCTAGAGACCCTGCACCTCACATAGGCCCTGCTAAGGGAGGAGGGGTCACCGGCGCCCCTCCCTGTCAGGGCTGATGGGGCTCAGGATACACAGTGCCTACACAGGCCAATTACAACAGAAGCCAGTTAGTGAGTGCCTACTGTGTGTCCCATGCCGTGTGAGTATGAGTGATTCTCTCACTTAATCCTCCCCAAAACCATCTGAGATCCCATCATTAACGCCATTGTACAGCCGTGGAAACTAAGACGGAAAGCTGCAGAAGGTCAGTAACCTGCCCAAGGTCACGAGCTGCAAGGGGTAGGATGTGGATGTGAAGCCAGGTCAATCAGAGGTAAGCCCGGCCCTCACGAGTACTCCACCACGCCAACCAGCACCTCCTCCTGGGAGGGGGTGACTGAGAGGCTACGGCCACGGGCCAGGCATAAACATGGCCACCCAAGGACAGCAGCGGAGCAGAGCAAGGCCAGACGCCAGAGGGCACCCCACATACCCTGCCACCCCAGGGTCCGCAGCTGACCTGGTCTCCGCCTCCTGGTGCACTAAGTGGTGGCCGCCACATCACTACCTGCTCACCCAGACATAACCCAGGCCAGGGCATCAGCCAACCTCTGCCACCCTGTGGCTCCTGATGCTCCTCTGGGTCACAGGAAGAGCAGTTCTATGGTAAAAAATAACAGAGCACAGAGACCTTGGAGCTCAGAAAGGAGCCTTATGGGAGGGGCTGAGCTCAGGTGCATCTTTAATCCTGCAGCTCCTGCCAGAACAGAAGGATCTGAGATGGGAGTGTCAGGGTCTATTACCATCAAACCAGAACCACTACAGGGCTGGGCAGGGGCAGAAATGCCTTTAAAATAGGCAAGTAGCCCCAATTAGGAGATAAATGATCAACAAGGTGGCACAGACAAGAGACACAGGCAGTAAATCCCTTGGGCTTGTTGTCTTCAATCCAGAGCATCTGATACAATGGAGGCAGCTTATGCTACCAGGAAGAACAGACCCTGAGCTATGTTCAGCAGCAAGGGGAGGCTCAGGGGCAGCATGGCAAGGGCCTGGGTTGCCGTATGACACTGTGTGGGCACTTGGCCTTCAGGGCCGCCACTTTAGCAGATGGGCCTCAGGCGGTGCAGGAAGACAGGCTCCTGTGATCAAGCAAGTCTTGGGGATTCTGGGTTAAACCAAGGGAAACAAGTGTCTCTCTGCCAAGACTGAGAGCGTGCGGCATGCTGCTATTAACATGCACAGTTAACTTTTGGGGAGGACGCTGTATGCAAGGGGTCCCAAACCAATTCAATCACAGAACCCACATTGTGGGAACACTTTCAGTTGGCATCTTATGGCCCCAATTAGGGAAATATTATATTGGGAAAAGGGACCATGGAGGAGCCAGGCAAAATATCAGCAAAACAGCCAAAGCACAAGCAATTAGACCCACTTAGGCAAAACCACGCTCTACACAGCAGCAGAAATCAAGAGAGGTGAGAGCAGGCCCTGCACGCCCCCTCCATTTCCCACGGCCCTCCACAGTAGCCACGTGCTGTCCGCGTGGCAGGCGTGAGAGGCCAAGCCATACCTGCAGAGTCAGAGAGAGCAGCTCCTTCCTCTCCTTGCCGTGATCCTGCAGGCGCCGCTGCCGGTGCTGCGACCAGCTGGACTCCCCTGTGGCCAGCCCGCTGAAGAGGCTCTTCCTGTCCTTGGGCCCACACGCCGGCTCCTTCCCCTTAGCGGTCTAGGGGGAGAGACAGTAGGCTGGGAAGTCTCTTGCCATTTGTGCCCAGGCCATGACACCGGGCCAGGAGGGAGCAGGAGCCCAGGGGTAGCGTCTCCACCCACAGCTCCCGGGTAAGGGTCCCCTGGCTGTGCTGAGCAGGGAGTTAAAATGTTACCATCTCAGCTGGTGGGCAAGGGCAAGAGTGAAACACGAGCAGTCTGGACCCCTCCTCTCTGTTCTCTAGTCCCCGTCACGAGAAGACAGGTCACCTGCACCCCTCAGCCTGCCACAGCTGTCACCTGGAGGTAGACAGACATCTATCTCCTTCATCTGATCGGAACAATTCCCTTTAGTTACGGGGCAGGAGACCAGCACTTACTAAGTGATGAGTATGAGGCAGGTCAGGCCCTACGCTTGGTGTTAGAAACATTATCAACTGTATGTTTGGGCAATACAAAGAAATATATATTTATGCAACATACAACCTGGGGGGAAAAAGGAACACAAGACCCTCTCTTGTTTTGGGCCAAGTGTATGACTAAGCCAGCTGATGTAACAAATATTGAGGTATTTGGAAATGATCACTAGGCAACCAAAAATTCTTAACAGAAATTATTGAAAATTCAAGCAACTTGGAGCAAGATAAACTGGACAGGAAAGAAACTGGCATCTTCTGGCTCTTTTTCGTAACAAGAGTGATAAGGTCAACCAAGGTTATAGCAAATGTATTAATAACCCCTACTCTGCCCCCATGGAGAGAAATTTCTTAATCTAGAGCCTTCTTAACAGGAGCTGTCACCTCAGCACCTTTCCAGATTCTCTGGCTGGCCTTTTTCCAACTTTATTCCCACAAACTGTGATGGTCAACACTGCCTCCCCCATCCTTTGTTTTACACTCTTAGCAAAGGGATATGAAGCAAACAGCCACTCAGGCTTGAGACCAACCTCCTCACAAGCCATCTCTACACAAGACCTAAGTCAAGAGAATAAACTCAACCACAGTCTGCTTGTTGCTTTCTAGTTCTTTTACTTGTTTTTTTTTTTGTTAACACTAAACAACTCAAACTGATTAACATAGATTCCTTGGGACCTTGGAGCCATGTGAACAGTTAAGAAAGGAAATTTTAAAGGATGATCAGTTTACCTGGAGCCTAACTGTGGCTGACCTACAGGGTATTTGTTATTTTTGTTTTTCTGACCAAGGCAACCTCCAGTGGCATCTACTTACGCTTATAATAGATGTTTCTTCTAGAGAGAGTATTTGATTCTCTGAATTTCGGCTTATTTTGGGAGAAGTAGGATTCTTAGTCAAGCCCAAAGAAATAAACCTAAGAAGAAAACCAACAACAATCACAATGATAGCACCAATATATATTACTCATTGAATGTTTACCATCTATAAGGCACCATGCTAAGAACCTCACAAACATTCCGTTAAAGAGGAAGACATGATTTTAACATGAGGAACTGAAGCTTAGAGAGGTTGTTATTTGGTCTACACTGGGAGAACTTATTAGAGCAGGAATTCACACCCAGATCTGACAGGAAACCCCATGCTCTGAGAAACCTGAAGAAAGCAATACTATGAAGGGAGCACTTGGAAGAAAGTGATGCTGAATAGAAAAGATAAGAAGAAATGTCATAATCCTGGAGCTAAATAACATAACTAAGACAAGGCCCTCTCTTTGTGCTTCTGGCCATTCTTGAGAGGTATCCCATGGTCCATGGAACATTGAAGAGGTTCCACAGTTTTAGAAACTGGAAGAAGACTTCTCTTACCTTCCCAGAAGCAAAAGGTGGTCAAGACAACTGATGACAGAGAGGTCATCTTTATGTAACCACGGCGTCCCTCACATGGTCCCCAGGGGGGCCGTGCTCACTCCCTGGGATGTGACTGCAGGGTGCCAGCCCTCATTACATAAATCCATTGAGTCCTCCCCATATCTACTCATCCAGAGGGCAAATTAGACTGAAGAATTCCACAGGGGTAGCTAAACTTATGTTAGACAAAATAGACTTTAAGCCAAAGAATGTAATAAGAGACAAAGAAGGTCATTATATAATGATAAAGGGGTCAATCCAATGAGAGGATATAACATTTGTAAATATTTATGCACCTGAAATAGGAGCACCTAGGTATATAAGGCAAATATTACTGAAGGGAGAAACAGGCAGCAATACAATAAGATTAGGAGACTTTAATACCCCACTTTCAATAATGGAGAGATCATCTAGACAGAAAATCAAAGGGAAACATTGTACTTAACCTATACATTAGATCAGATGAACTTAATGAACATTGACAGCACAGTCCATCCAAAAGTAGCAGAATACACATTCTTCTCAAGTGCACATAGAACATTCTCCAGGACATATCATATGTTAGGCCACAAAACAAGTCTTAATAAATTTAAGAAGACTGGAAGCATATCAAGCATCACAATGGAATAAAACTAGAAATCAATTCCAAGAAGAAAACTAAGAAATTCATAAAGATGTGGAGATTAAACAACAGCATACTCATGTATCAATTCCCCTACATTATACTCAGCACATGTGGGGTTAAAACGAAAAAACTCTTTCCCTGCTTACTCCCTGGCTCCAAAAGCCACTATCGCCATGAAGACAAACAGCCAAGGTTACCTACCTGCAAATTTCCTTATCAACTCCTCCTCCCTGCATACAGCCTCCCAAGGCTGAATACAGGCTAGTGGGAAAGCTATGACCAGCAAGGCCACTGACTCCAACCCCACCCCGCACCCCCCACCCCCTACATCTACAAGCAGCCACACTTCTCATAAATCTTTAAAACCCCTTGCTTCCCCTCTTTCAGGGAGTTGAAATGAAATGCGACAAATTTGAGGACTCACTCTCATCTCCTGGCTGCTGTCACCCAAAAATAGAAACCCTTTCCTTGCCATAATACTGGTGTTTCAGTTTTTACTTGGCCCCTCTTGTGTGGAAGGTTAGGAAGCTATGTTTGTAGGTGGTAACAGGTTCAGCATTTTTCATCTTTTGCCTGAAGAAAACTATACACACACACCCAAACCCAAAAATCTTAAAAACTCTAAAAACTAAACAGCTTATAATTCTCCTTTTTCTGAGGATATCTTACTTTCCAGACAGAAAAATGATCCTCAGACAAAATGTAAAAGCAAACGTGGGTCTCCTGGCTCTGCCATTTTACCAGACTAGAGAAACACAGAGCTGAGCAGAACAGCTATATCTGGGTTGTAAACAATATAGACGTGGAAAAGGACTCGGGTTACAAAATAGACATGAAAACAGGTTAGTCGTAAGGCATGAGCACATACAGTCTTCCTCTTCGAAGTTCATTACTGTTACTATGCTGTTCACGCTACACACATGACTTATAATATGAACCTCGCATCTGGTTTTCAGAGACTCTTACAGCCCCCAAATCCCCAACACTGACTCCCTGGTGACACACGCTCCTCTGACATCAGTGCTTTCCAGTACTGATCAGCCCTCCACTGCCACTACCCTATCTCACACACAAGAAGAAGAAGCACTTCCCAAGCAGCAAGATTGTTCAGAACAAACCTTCTGGCGCAGAACTTCATTTTCTTCTTGAACCCGGCTGGTCCTCTGGCATTCCGCGTCGAAGTTCAGGATCACGGGGACTGGTGCACAAGGTTAAAGAATAAGCCTGCCTGTGAAACAATTAAAAGTCCTTCCCAAACTCCTGACACAGCAGCCACATCCTTGAACACGAGACGCGGGGAAGAGAAAACAGACTCGGTGCTGTGGGCTCTTCACGGCTTTACGAAAAGTCTCTCCCCCGATGCTGGGCCTGGCCTGATTTCATTCAGACAGACTCACAGGCACATGACAATCTGCCCAGCCAGCCCACAGAGAGGACATAAATCCAAACCTGAATGGTTTTTGCCAAATACCAGCAGTAAAGAGCCAGAATACAGTGGGCTTCACAGCCAGTCTAAGCTTTAGCCACATTCGGCTAAAAGTGAGCCCGGCAGCCAGCGGCTCTGCAGGCAGACGGCCAGCTGCTCTACCAGCTGGGCAGGAGGGCTGGCCACACGCCACCCCATGAACATCCACATTCTGGGTCAGGGTGTCCGTCTTTCCCAACCATCTCAGACAGCTTCAGTCAGGAGGGGCACACAGCAGGCAGGGCCTCAGTGCTGAGGAAGAGACTGTGGCTGGAATGAGTGTGGCCTGGTTTGCAGGGCACTGTCTTCTACTGATAAGATCTGGAGTGACATTTCCAATTTCCCTAGAGGTCCCATGTAGTCTTGACATAACCATCTCTGGGATGAGCCCCCTGCTAGTTTCTATTGAAAGCCCTCAGCATGAAGAGCAGCAAGAGGGAGAGAAACAGATAAACCTGGAATGAGCAAGTGGAATCCATGATCACCCACAACATGGAAGGAAAGGGCGCCCTTCCTACTGCCCCCAGAAGACGGTCCTCTCGGAGGCCAAACGGCCTCTGGGGGTGGGCCTCCACACGCCCAATTTATCAGTGCCTCACCAGGCAGCCCCATTCAAACCAGACTCCCTTCTCCTCCCCTAGACTTCTAGCCAAGAGCATGAGCAACAGAGGATGCCCTGGTCTCGGCCTGGGGATCGCAGGCTTTCCAGGACAAAATGGTAGATATGGCAGGCTGTAAATTATTTACGTTCTCTCTCAAGTATCCACACATCTATTCTTAAAGCTGCTCTGTTTTCTGCAAAGTTGAAGAACACTGAGGTCACCATCACAGGGAGGAAGTTCCAGCCCAAGAAGTGTTCTCACCTGCTACCCAACCCCAACAAAGGCAAGCGATCTCCCGCAGGGCACAGGGCATGCCCAGAGAGGGTGCTCTGGAGGCTGGCAGTTTCACTAAAAGCAGCTGCCTACCAACCCCTGTGTCAGTTCTGGGTGAGGGCTCCTCTCAGAGCCCAACACTAACACCCCACTGCCATGACAGTCCCTGTCCCCGGGCACAGCTATTACTTCAGCAGCAGAGCATCAGCTCTGAGACCTACGATTCCCTGGCTGACTGACAAAAATAACCACAATCTGTGCAGCTCCTCACAAGACAATGATCCTTGGGCATTTTGCACAGAAATGACTACATTGAGAGCAGCAGCCACTGATCACACTGTCTAGATGCCTCAGACTGGGCCCAGAGCCCCAGGCAGCTGAAAGGATATGCATGCACTGAAACAGGACACTCAGGAAGTTGTGCAGGGACACAATGAAAGTGTCAGCCCACTGTCGAGAGAAGTTGGTGGCAAAGGTGGGGTTGGTGTCTGGGGATGGCAGGAAGGGCAGGACAAACCAATCCTTCCACTCGGCCTGGTTCTGGAGTTCTGTGGCCTGCTTTGCAAAGGACTCCTGAGCCTTGTCATTTCTGTTTGTCTGCCAAGACAGAGGAGGGAGCAAGGAGGGGGAAGAGACAGAAGTCCACAGGTAAGATTCTTCATCACTGCACAACACAGAGCCTTCGGATACCAGCCTGCTGCGGAGATGCTTGGTAAGTGGCCAAACATGATCTACAAACTCCATAAAATACAGGAAATGGGGCCAGCCCTGGTGGCCTAGTGGTTAAGTTTGGTGTGCTCCATGTCAGTGGCCTCGGTTCCATCCCTGGGCACAGACCTGCACCACTCGTCTGTCAGTGGCCATGCTGTGGTGGTGGCTCACACACAAAAAGAGTAAGATTGGCTGTGGATGTTAGCTGAGGGTGAATCTTCCTCAGCAAAAATAAAAAGTAAAAAAATAAAGGAAATCTACTTTTTTCTCAAGTTCCTTGTAATTTCAAAGAAGCTAATTTAAACTGAAGTGCTGATGATAAATGCCATTCTAAAAATCAACTCATGGTTGATTTTCAAATAATCTAAGTGACTTATTCCCCCAGGTCAGCTATAACCTTTATTACTCAAACTTTAACCCAGCTACTTATGTTCTTTAAAACACCACCCAGGCTTACGTGCTTACAACAAGAGGGGAATCAGGAAAGAGGAGGACAAGTCAGATGATCTACAGATGAGAAGGAAAAACACAGGAAAACACCCCAAAATAACTTGCACTGTGACTGTTTCACCTTTTCCCAGAGTAACATACCGAGTCTTCCCTAGGGGTTAAAAGAAAATCTATTTCTGGATCAAAGAACTCTCTCCACAAGGGATCCCTGTACCAACAGGCACCTGGATTGTGTAGACAAGATAAAAGCAGACCAGGCTGGTTTTCAGCTTGTTGATGGTGGGTCTATATATATCCTCCAAACAGCTGAAGAGCTGACGCTCCAGGTAGCTCCAATAATCCCGAAGAGCAGCCAAGTCATACACCTGCATTAACTGCTGCAGCTGGTCCACAATCTTGTCCACCTGGTGAGAGAAAGAAGGATGGAGAAGGTGAAGGACAGAACAGAATTGTCCCCTCACTCCACAGAGTTAATATGGCTTTTTCTTCTTGCTGTGGCTTCTGGATGTTAAATTTATTTATTTATTTTTATTTGAGTTCATGATAGTTTACATCATTGTGAAATTTAAGTTGTACATTATTTCTTGTCTGTCACCACAAAGTGCTCCCCTGCACCCCCGTGCCCAACCCCCATCCCGCCTTCCCCTGGTAACCACTGAACTGTTTTCTTTGTCCATGTGTTTGTTTATACTCCACATATGCGTGAAATAATCTGGTGTTTGTCTTTCTCAGACTGGCTTATTTCACTTAGCATAATTCCCTCCAGGTCCATCCATGTTGCTGCAAATGGGATGATTTTGTCTTTTTTATGGCTGAGTAGTATGCCATTGTATATAAACACCACATCTTCTTTATCCAATCATCAGTTGATGGGGACTTGGATTGTTTCTACGTCTTGGCTATTGTGAGTAGTGCTACAATGAACGTAGGGGTGCCTATGTTACTTTGGATTGTTGATTTTGAGTTGTTTGGGTACATACCCAGTGGGATAGTTGGGTCATATGGGAATTCTATTTTTAGTTTTTTGAGGAATCCCCACACTGTTTTCCATAGTGGCTGCACCAGTTTGCATTCCCACCAGCACTGTATGAGGGCTCTCTTTTCTCCACACCCCTCTTCAACATTTGTTATTTTTAGTCTTAGTGATTATAGCCATTTTAACAGGCATAAAGTGGTATCTTAATGTAGTTTTTATTTGCATTTTCCTGATGATTAGTGATGTTGAACATCTTTTCATGTATTTATTGGCCATCTGTATATCTTCTCTGGAAAAATGTCTAGTCATATCCTCTGCCCATTTTTTGATGGGGCTGTTTATTTTTTTGTTGTTCAGTTGTGTGAGTTCCTTATGTACTATGGAGATTAACCCCTTGTCGGATATATGATTTGCAAATATTTTCTCCCAATTGGTGGGTTGTTTTTTTGTTTTGATCCTAGTTTCCTTTGCCTTGCAGAAGCTCTTTGGTCTGATGAAGTCCCACTTGTTTATTTCTAATTTTGTTTCCCTTGTCTGAGAAGACATGGTATTCAAAAATATCCTTTTAAGTTTGATATCAAAGAGTGTGCTACCTATAGTATCTTCAAGTCTTTGATCCATTTTGAGTTTTTTTGTATGGTGTGAGATAATGCCCTACTTTCATTCTTTTGCATGTGGCTGTCCAGTTTTCCCAACACCATTTATTAAAGAGACTATCTTTTCTCCATTGTATGTTCTTGGCACCTTTGTTGAAGATTAGCTGTCTGTAGATGTGCGGTTTTATTTCTGGGCTTTTAGTTCTGTTCCATTGGTCTGTGTGTCTGTTTTTGTCCCAGTACCATGCTGTTTTGATTACTATGACTTTGTAGTACATTTTGAAGTCAAAGATTGTGATGACTCAAGCTTTGTTCTTTGTTCTCAGGATTGCTTTAGCAATTTGGCGACTTTGCTTGCACCATATGAATTTTAGGATTCTTTGTTCTATTTCTGTGAAGAATGCCATTAGGATTCTGATTGGGATTGCATTAAATCTGTAAATTGCTATGGGTTGTATGGACATTTTAATTATGTTTATTCTTCCAATCCATGTGCATGGAATCTCTTTCCATCTGTTTATATCATCATCTATTTCTTTAAATAATGTCTTATAGTTTTCATTGTATAAGTCCTTCACCTTCTGGGTTAAATTTATTCCTAGATATTTTATTCTTTTGTTGTGATTGTAAATGGAATTGTATTCTTGAATTGTCTTTCTGTAAATTCATTACTAGAGTCTAGAAATGCAACTGATTTTTGTAAGTTGATTTTGTACCCTGCAACTTTACTGTAGTTGTTAATTATTTCTAATAGTTTTCCCATGGATTCTTTAGGGTTTTCTACATGTAAGATCATGTCATCTGCAAACAGCAAGAGTTCACTTCCTTTTTGAATTTCTTTTATTCTTTTCTATTGCCTAATTGCTCTGGCCAAAACCTCCAGTACTATGTTGAATAAGAGAGGTGACAGTGGGCATCCTTGTCTTGTTCCTGTTCTCAGAGGGATGGTGTTCAGTTTTTCCCCATTGAGTATCTTATTGGCTGTGGGTTTGTCATACATGGCCTTTATTATGTTGAGGTAATTTACTTCTGTCCCCATTTTGTTCAGAGTTTTTATCATAAATTGTTGTTGGATCTTGTCAAATGCTTTCTGTGCATCTATTGAGATGATCATTTGATTTTTATTCCTCATTTTGTTAATGTGGTCTATCACATTGATTGACTTGTAGATGTTGAACCATCCCTTTGTCCCTGGTATAAATCCCACTTGATTGTGATGTATGATCTTTTTGATGTACTGCTGTAGTCAGGTTGCCAATATTTTGTTGAGGATTTTTGCATGTATGTTCATCCGTGATATTAGCTTGTAGTTCTCCTTTTTTGTGCTGTCCTTGTCGGGCTTTGTTATCAGAGTGATGTTGGCCTCATAGAATATTTTAAGAAGCATTCTGTCTTCCCTAATTTTTTGGAATAGCTTAAGAAGGATAAGTATTAAATCCTCTCTGAAAGTTTGGTAGAATTCCCCAGGGAAGCCATCTGGTCTGGGATTTTATACTTTGGGATGCTTTTGATTACTGTTTCAATCTCTTCAGTTGTGATTGGTCTATTCAGATTCACTATTTCTTCTTGACTCAGCTTTTGGAGGTTGTAAGAGTCTAAGAATTTATCCAGTTCCTCTAGATTGTTCATTTTGTTAGCATATAGTTTTTCATAGTATTCTCTTTTAATCTGTTGTATTTCTGTGGTATCCATTGTTATTTCTCCTCTTTCATTTCTAATTTTATTTATCTGAGCTTTCTCTCTTTTTTCTTTGTAAGTCTGGCTAGACGTTTGTCAATTTTATTTATCTTCTCAAAGAACCAGCTCTTTGTTTCATCGATCCCTTCTTCTGCCTTTTTTGTTTCAATAGCATTTATTTCTGCTCTGATTTTTATTACTTCTCTCTTTCTGCTGATTTTGGGCTTTTTTTATTCTTCTTTTTCTAATTCAATTAGGTGTAGTTTGAGCTTGCCTATTTGGGATTTTTCCTGTTTATTAAGGTGAGCCTCTATTGTGATGAATTTCCCTCTTAATACATGTTTTGCTGCCCCATATGAGTTGGTACGGTACGTTTTCATTTTCATTTGTCTCCAGATATTTTTTTATTTCTCCTTTAATTTCTTCAATGATCCATTGGTTGTTCAATAGCATGTTGTATAGCCTCGAAATCTTTGTCCATTTCTCAACTTTTTTCTTATAATTAATTTCTAGCTTTATAGCATTGTGATTGGAAAAGATTCTTATTATTTTAATCTTCTTAAATTTGTTGAGGTTTGCCTTATTTCCCAACATATGATCTATCCTTCAGAATGTTCTGTGCACACTTGAGAAGAATGTGTGTTTTGCTGTTTTTGGATGGAGTGTTCTGTATATGTCTATTAAGTCCAACTGGTCTAGCTGTTCATTCAATTCCACTATTTCCTTGTTGATTTTCTGTCTGGTTGATCTATCCATTGATGTGAGTGGAATGTTAAGGTCCCCTACCGTTATTGTATTAACATTTTCTTTTAGGTTTGTTAATAGTTGCTTTATGTACTTTGATGCTCCTGTGTTGGGTGCATGGATACTTATGTGTTATATCTTCTTGATGGAATGTCCCTTTGATCATTATATACTGCTCCTCTTTCTCTCTCTTTACCTGTCTTAAAGTCTATTTTGTCTGATATAAATACGGCAACACCTGCTTTCTTTTGTTTGCTATTAGCTTGGAGTATTGTCTCCCATACCTTCACTCTGAGCCTGTGTTTGTCATTGGAGCTGAGATGTGTTTCCTGGAGGCAGAATATTGTGGGGATGTTTTCTTTAATCCATCTCACCACTCTGTGTCTTTTTATTGGAGAATTCAATCCATTTATGTTTAGGATGATTGTCGATATATGAGGACTTAATGATGCCATTTTATCACTTGGTTTCTGGTTCTCCTGCATTTCCTTTGTTTCTCGTCCTTTGTATTTTGGCTTACCGGTCAAGTTATATAATTTTTTATGTTGTGTTTCTGTTTTCTCCTTATTTATTATTTGTGTCTCTCTTCTGCTTTTTTGTTTAGTGGTTACCGTGAGGTCTGCATTCAAAATCTCACAGGTAGGATAGTCCCTTTTCTGATGGCCTCTTATTTCCTTAGACTAAACCGATTCAGTCCCTTGCTTCTTCCCCTCCTAAGTTGTTTTCTCACATCTTATTCCATCTTGTGTTGTGAGTTTGTGGTTAAAATGACAAGATTATCTTTGTTTTTGGTGGTTTCCTTCCCTTTGTCTTTAATGCTATACTTGAGTATTTCCTATCCTGCTCTGATTCTGTCTACCTATTTGTCTCCTTACTCTGTGCTTTGTAAACCCTCTCTCTCTCTTTTTTTTTTTCAGGTATGAGGGCCTTCTTGAGAATTTCTTGTAGGGGGAGTCTTGTGGCTACAAACTCCCTTAACTTATGTTTTCCTGGGAAAGTTCTTATTTTTCCATCACATCTGAAGGATATTTTTGCTGGATACAGTATTCTTGGCTGAAAGTTTTTGTCCTTCAAAGATTTGAATATGTTATCCCAGCCTCTCTTAGCTTGTAAGGTTTCTGCAGAGAAATCCACTGAAAGCCTGATAGGGGTTCCTTTGTAGGTTATTTGTTCTGCCTTGCTGCCCTTAGTATTCGTTTTTTGTCATTCACTTTTGCTAGTTTCACTACTATCTGCCTTGCAGTAGGTATTTTTACATTGACATATTTAGGAGATCTGATAGCCTCTTCCACATGAATTTCCATCTCATTCCCTAGGTTTGGGGCATTCTCTGCTATTATTTCTTTGAACAAGCTTTCTGCTCCATTCTCCTTCTCTTCTCCTTCTTGAATACCTATTGTTCTTATGTTGCATTTCCTAATTGAGTCGGATATTTCTTGGAGACTTTCTTCATTTCTTTTTAGTCTTAGTTCTCTCTCCTCTTCTATCTGGAGCATTTCAACATGTCTATATTCGACTATGCTGATATGCTCCTCTATGATGTCTGCTCGAGTGTTCAGGGAATCCATACTTTGTTTTATTACTTCCATTGTGTCTTTCATCTCTAACGTTTCTCACTGACTCTTCTCTACAGTTTCAATCTCTTTTGTGAAGTAGCTCCTGAACTTGTTGAATTATTTCTCTACATTCTGTTGTAACTCGTTGAGTTTTTTGATGATAGCTAATTTGAATTCTTTGTCAGTTGGATTACATATTTCTGTGTCCTCCAGACTGATTTCTGGGTACTTGTCATTTGCTCTCTGCTCTACAGATCTGATATAATGTTTGATGTTGCTAGAGGGAATGGCTCTGTTTTCTCGCTTTCTGGTGTTATTTGGTCACAGCTACTGCCTGTTGTCACTGGGTGGGGGTCAAGAGGTGCGTATTCTGAGGTTTCTGCCTTCAGCTGAGATCCCAGGCACTAGAGCCAGGTGCTGGGTGGGTGGGGGGAGGGGTGCTTTCTCCTGCCTGCTTTTGTGATTTTCTTGCTCTGCTCTTGTGATCTGCTCTCTTGGGGTGTTAGCAGCTGCCCTCCAAGTCAAGGAGGGCTGGACCTTGGAGATAGTCATGAGGCAGGCTAGGGGCTGAAGTGCCCTGCTCATTGGAGGGTGCTCTGGAGGCCAGCGGTTTCACTAAAAGCAGCTGCCTACCAACCCGTGTCAGCTCTGGGTGAGGGCTCCTCTCAGCGCCCAGCACTAACACCCCACTGCTACGAGAGTAACATGCCCGTGCACAGCATCAGCTCTGAGACCTATGATTCCCTGGCAGAGTGATGAAAATAACCACAATCTGTGCAGCTCCTCATACGACAATGATCCTTGGGCATTTTGTAGAGAAATGACTGCATTAAGAGCAGCAGCCACTGATCACACTGTCTAGATGCCTCAGACTGGGCCCAGAGCCCCAGGCAGCTGAAAGGATATGCATGCACTGAAACAGGACACTCAGGAAGTTGTGCAGGGACACAATGAAAGTGTCAGCCCACTGTCGAGAGAAGTTGGTGGCAAAGGTGGGGTTGGTGTCTGGGGATGGCAGGAAGGGCAGGACAAACCAATCCTTCCACTCGGCCTGGTTCTGGAGTTCTGTGGCCTGCTTTGCAAAGGACTCCTGAGCCTTGTCATTTCTGTTTGTCTGCCAAGACAGAGGAGGGAGCAAGGAGGGGGAAGAGACAGAAGTCCACAGGTAAGATTCTTCATCACTGCACAACACAGAGCCTTCGGATACCAGCCTGCTAGGTAAGTGGCCAAACATGATCTACAAACTTATAAAATAAAGGAAATCATCACTCTTTTCTCAAGTTCCTTGTAATTTCAAAGAAGCTGGTTTGAACTGAAGCCCTGATGATAAATTCCATCCTAAAAATTAATTCTTAGTTGATTTTCAAATAATCTAAGTGACTTATTCCCCTAGGCCTGCTATAATCTTTATTACTCAAACTTTAACCCAGCTACTTATGTTCTTTAAAACACCACCCAGGCTTACGTGCTTACAACAAGAGGGGAATCAGGAAAGAGGAGGACAAGTCAGATGATCTACAGATGAGAAGGAAAAACACAGGAAAACACCCCAAAATAACTTGCACTGTGACTGTTTCACCTTTTCCCAGAGTAACATACCGAGTCTTCCCTAGGGGTTAAAAGAAAATCTATTTCTGGATCAAAGAACTCTCTCCACAAGGGATCCCTGTACCAACAGGCACCTGGATTGTGTAGACAAGATAAAAGCAGACCAGGCTGGTTTTCAGCTTGTTGACGGTGGGTCTATATACATCCTCCAAATGGCTGAAGAGCTGACGCTCCAGGTAGCTCCAATAATCCCGAAGAGCAGCCAAGTCATACACCTGCATTAACTGCTGCAGCTGGTCCACAATCTTGTCCACCTGGTGAGAGAAAGAAGGATGGAGAAGGTGAAGGACAGAACAGAATTGTCCCCTCACTCCACAGAGTTAATATGGCTTTTTCCTTTTGCTGTGGCTTCTAGATGTTATTTTTTTTTAAAGTTAGCAATCCATAAAACTTTCAAAACAGTAATGGCTTTTAGGTTATTTTCTGATGTTAGATATGTGGTTTGACTCTCTAACATTGTGGAAATTTCAGGTGTCAAAGTGCTCTGGCCCAGAAAGCAAGGGATCTGGGTTCAGGTCTTGGATCTGCCTGACTTACTCATCCAACTTGCCAAAGTCACTTCATCTCTCTGGTCTCAGTTGCCTAAGACTTCAACAAGTGAAAATACAGAGAGTGAGACAGTCTACATGGTCCACCTCCCAGCTCTGCCAGGCCAGGATTCCATGGCTCACAGTGAGATGACTCCTTCAAGTCATCAAGGCACCACCAAAGCCCAGACCACTGCTCAGTGTGTCAGCCAAAGAAGTCACCTCCTTGTGAGGAACAATCACACCAGAACACAGTCTGGAAGAGGTTTTGGATACCAATACCAATCCAACATGCCCATGTTAAAGATCAGGACGCTGAGGCCTGGACAGCTGAAATGATTTGCTTTTGCCACTAAGCAGACACTAGCTTCGGGAAGACAAGAACCCAGATCTCCTAACTCCCCTCCAATGCTCTTGCTGATGGCTCACTGTCTCTCTCAATTCACCTGCCAACACCAACTGAAGTTAGCAAACAAATGACACACACACAAATTCCAAGAGCTTCTCAGCAGAAAATCATGTCTGAGCAGAGGAAGTATAACGTTTTAAAATGTTCAATAAAGGCTTCCTCAACTGCCGAAGAACACTGCCAAGGAGTCAGTGACAAAGCCATTTTACACAAACACCACGGATACTTGAACCCTGCTAACACTGAGGGCTGCAGAAGCCTTTGCTCCCAATGCCTTCGGAAGCCAACTTTGGAATACTTCTGTTGCCAAAACTCAACCAGGTACCCAACCTTAGCTCCTAAAACCTCCTGGCCATCCTGGCCCACGACAGGCCAGCAGCTGCTGAGAGGCTGGGATGGAGAACAGAGCCCTGGACCAGGAGTCAGGGCACCTGGGCTCTAGCCTAGGCGATGCTCCTGACTCGCTGGGCAACTTCAGGTAGGTCACGTGACCTCTCAGGGCCTCAGTTCCTCATCTGTCAAGTGAGGCCCTGACGCGCCAAAGTCGACGGTCCCCCCGGCGCGGTGACAGCTCCGCTCCCGCCCCGGAGGGCAGCGCTGGGGGACAGCCCGCTCAGGGATCCCTCGGGGTCGCCTCTGCCCGCGCCGCGCCCGCCGGCCCCTCACCCGGAACCCCTTCTCCTTGTCCGCCTTGATCTCGGCGTCCAACTGTCGCAGGGTGTGCGTGAAGCCGCGGAAGAGCAAGTACTCGCGGACCAGCTCGTCCGTGCGTTGTATGGCCTCCGCCATAGCTGCGCCAGAGCGGGGAGGAGCCGCGGCGGGCCAGGACCGGGGGGCGGGGCCTGGGCCTCGGGGGGCGGGGCGGGGCGCGGGCGCCGAGGACGTCACGCCGCGGCCGGCCTACCAGCACACACGCCCCGCGCGCCGCGCGCCTGAGGCCCCGCCCCGGCCCCGCCCCACCGGTCCGTCGTCAGCACTCTCCGGGTGAGCGACTGGAAGGCGCGCTGCTTGCGTTAGTTTCCTGGCTACGCTGGCGGCGGCGTTGTCGTCCGAGTTGTTGAAAGCAGCGGCCGCTGTCCGAGTCAAGGAGGGCTGGACCTTGGAGATAGTCACGAGGCGGGCTGGGGGCTGAGGTGCCTTGCTCATTGGCATTACAGCGCAGACTCCTCTGTGCCCTGCCCTCGTTTTACAAATGGGGAGACTGGAGTCCTAAGGGGCAGAGTGACTTGTGGGAAGTCCCACAGCCAAGCCTGCCGTCAGAGAGCTCTAACTCCCCCCAAAGCCCCGCTCTTGTTAATAAGATTAACTGTGCGGCAGGATAACCAAGACACACTGTTGAGAGGAAAAGGCAAGTTTCAGAACAGTATGTATAATAGGGTCCCAGTTTCTTGTAAAGAAGAAAAGAAAAGAAGGAAAAGAAAAGTACGTGTGTGTGTGTGTTGTACATTTTAAAAATTCAAGAAGATCATACGCTAACCGCTTGTAGTTTTCTCAAAGAGGTGAGATTACGAGGGACTTTCACTTCCTATCTTTTACGATTTTTTGTTTGAAATGTTTACAAAGGGTAAATATTTTTGTAAGCATGGAAATAGCCGGTATCAGTGAGCCTTACTTTCCTTGTCTGTAAAATAGTGACAATAGCACCTACCTTGCAGAGTAGTCCTGAAAATTTAATGAGATAATGTATGTGAAACGCTTAGCAGTGAATAGCCCACCTTTAAAAAGCAAGGTTTGTGCCTTTCTCTTTCCCTCTAGAGGAATGGCTCTGTATTTGTCAAAGTACAACTGAGAGTCATCTCTGCTGCTCTGCCCAGACCCTCCAAGCTAACTATATGGGAACTTAGCCCCAGAGGCCTCTGATCTCTGCTAGAGGAACCTGAAAAGATAACAAAGAGCAAGCCACAGCAAGACAAGGTAGAGACTGGTTGCATCTCTTCGCCTGCTTTACCTGTCTCCACAGGTGTAAGTATCCCCAGGCAACCAGCCTTGCCCTGCGGGGCAGGAAAGGAGAGTGACTGCGGGGAGGACCAGACCAGATCCTACATTGCCTGGGATCTCAGATCTTCGAAAGTGAACTTGGGAAATCTGGACTAGTAGCAACCGCCAAAACCTTCCTCTATGGGGAAAGCTGTGAATTAGATTTCCCTGAGGGCTTCTGAAGTGTGCAGCCACAGCTCCCACCTCCCCAGCCTCCTCCTGCCCTGGCCCTTCCCAGACCAGAGCCTATAAAACCAGCTAAGATTGGTTTTCGGATCAATGAAAGGCAGTTCCTCTGGGCCTTAGCACAAGCTCTTTCCTCTGCTTGGAATGTCTTCTCCTAGATTCCCACGTGGAGAGCTCATTTGAGCAAACATGGGAAGGAGGCTTCATGGATTTGTGCAAATGTCACCTTCTCAGAAAGGCCCTCTCTGACCATCCTGTACAAAATAGTGCTCTCACCTCCAGTGTTCTTAACCCCTGGCCCTGATAGCTGTTTCTCCATAGTGCTTATCACCATCTGACAAACTAGATGTTTTACTTATTTAATTTATTGTCTCCCTTCCCACACTAAAATATAAGCTGCATGAAAGCAGAGATTTTTGTCTGAATTGTTTGCTTCTATATCCCCAGAGCCTAAAACAGTATCTGGCTTACAGTAGATGCTCAATAAATACTTACTGAATGCATGAGTGAAGGCAATTTCAGTGAGGGTCCCAGCAGGGCAGCCCTATTGGAAGGAATATACACTCTTGAATTACTCCTGTGTGTGGGCTTCTGACCGGTTTCCCATCCTAAGCATTCCTCTTCCCCCATCTTCTCTTCATACCATTTTACTCCTCTTTAAAGATTTTTGGAGATATTTCACTGAGTTGTCTTATGTCATGGAGAAGGCACTGGATTCTCCAGCTCCTTCATTAGCTGCAGTTAGTTGATCTGATTAAGCCTTTACTGCTTATGCTCTGGCACCTGCTTTGAAAGTAACAGGTAGCCTGGGGTCACTTAAGAAGGTACTATCAGGGCCACAGCTGTTCCATTATGCAAAGAGAATTATGTGGGTGCCCATGAGGTGAACCACAAGTTACCTTTTCTTCCAATCTAGTCATCTCTCTTTGCCTTTGAGCATTAGACTTGGAAGAGAAGGGAGGACAAGGAGCACGGGGACGGTGGAGGGGCAGTGTACACTTCATGAGCAGCTACTAGAAGCCAGGCACTGTGCTAGGTGTCAGGGACATATTCATAAGCAAGACCACTGTCTCTGCCCTCAGGACCAGCTCCGGCTGGTCGGAGAAGCGAGACAACTGAAGCACATACACTCTGGCTGCAGAGTAGAGTCTGGAGTGGATGGGAGCAGGGCTGGAAGGAGGATGGACGTCAGTTAGGAGGCTGTGACATTCCAAGCAAGAGATGAGACTAGACTGGGGGAAGATCTGAGGATTATCGAGGAGTGGAATCAACTGGACTTGGTGATTGATTAGCTAAGGTGAGTAAGGAGAGGAGTAGTCAGTGATTGGCAGGTTTCTGGCTTGGGCTTCTGGATGGATGATAATACCATTCATGGTCCGACAGAACTCAGGAAGAGGAGACGGTGGGGCATCCAGACACATTCTTCTGGGTAGGAGCTAAAACAAACAGGGACGTGTAGACAGTAAATAAGACTGGGACCTGGAGCATGGCCGCCATCCTACCTCACCCCACTGGAGGCTTCAACTATTACCTGTACACTCAGGACTCCCAAATCTTCCCTGCAGCCCAGACCTTCCTCCTGAGCTCCCGCCCCAATCCCTGGCAATATTTCCATCTGGATATTCCACAGACATCTCAAACCTAACTGTACCGGTTCAGTTGAGAAGCATTTACAGAGGCTCTTAGTTCGAAATGGTGAATGAGGGCTTCAGTCTTGCTCCTCAGAGGGAGCTACATTGTACATTGTACATTGCTACATTAGACTGTAGAATTCAGCTCCTGTTTCTCCAAAGTGTAATTGTGTCACAACTGCATCAGAATTACCTCAGGGTTTTGTTAAATTACAAATTCCTGCAACCAACCCAGACCTACTCAGTCAGAATTGCTTGGGATGGTGCCTGGGGATGTGCATTTGGAGCAAGCTCCAGGTGATTCTTAGGGACACATATGTTTGAGAATCACTTATTTCATGGTAAGAGAGGGTAGATGGGGTCAGCTGCCCATCAACAGGGTTCCATGTATAAGTGACTATTTTAAGCTTAATAGCAATACTGATAATGTTTTATAGCTGCAGAACACTTGTACATACCTTATTTCATTTGAACCTCATGCAGCCCTGTAAAGTCCTTTTTTCTTTGTCTTTGAAACAGGAAACTGAAGTTTAGGGAGACTGAATGACTTAGTTAAGGTCTCAAATTCACGTTTCTGATTCAAGTCCGCCAGTGCTCTGCCGAGAGCTTCACGGCAGCATCTCTGAGTCAGTCAACTCGTGAGACAGGCCACTTGGGTGAATGAGGATGAATTACCCCTCCTCCTGAGGAGCATTAGAGCTCAGAACACCATGCAGGGTCTTTAATGGCTGGAGCATTCTGCATGGGGCAGGGGTCACTCTCTCTAACCCTGGGCAGCCAGCGATAACAGGGCAGAGGTGCAAGAGCGCCCGCAGCCATCCCAGGTCCTGGGGTTTCCTTAGAATTTCGCCACCTGCCTTTACTTCTAATCTTGATGCTCTGGGCTGCCCTTGGTGTGCCCTACAATTTCCGAGATTTCTTTTTACCCAGTCCTTTGCCTGACTCTGCCCATGGCTGTTCACTTGAACTCTTACTATCCTTTAAGACTCAGCCTCGTCATCCCTGGAGCTTACTTCTACAGTAGCACTGGGTGTTTCTCATTCTGTTCCCACAGCAGGGCACCCTATATGAGCTTACCACATTGCTTTGTAACTGTCTGTCTTACCTCCTTGACTATAAACTCCGAGAGCAGAGAGTATGTCTTGCTGGTCCTAGTGTCCCTCATGCCTGGTATAGTCCCTTCAGCGTAGGTGCTCAATAGCTGTTTGGTGAATTAATGAGTGAGTGAATAAAGTCCACACGACTGTGCTGCCTGGAACTCCAGATACCTGCTCAGTCCAGAGCATCCATTGCCACTGCCTTCAGCAGAGACATCTTTTCTTACTGTGGCCAGTGCCATAAAAATGTATGAGCACTTCTGCGACCCGGAAGTGGTCCCCCATGACTCACTAGTAATTCCCAGTTTCCCTATTGATGACCCTCAGCCTTGGCTTAGGAGGCAGCTTGTTTACACGTTAGTGTGGAGCTCACCAAAAATAATGACACAGAGATTAAAATACATACCATTTTCACCTACAAATTTGCATTTTTTAAACAAACTACTGCCTAGTGTTGATAAAAATAAAGTGAAGTGGGCATTCTCATAAAGCTCCAGAATTAGCTACTTTTCTAGGGATAAATCTATAAATGATCAAACCCCCCAAAATATTCATACTCTTGAACCTGATAATTTCACTTCTAAAATTTCCCTTAAAAAAATGGCAAGCTTCATGTAGAATGGGTTGTTTATCAAAGTGCAAGTTATTTGTAATAATGAAAGTTACTTACGATAGTGAAAGTTGTAAGTACTTGGAGGCTATAGTGAGGTATCCCCTAAGAAGTTGAGGATGAGGAACCTGCATTTCCCATTGAGTGTGAAACTGCAGAATCTACTCAGAAAGCAAAGATGCAGTTAGTGGAAAAAGAGAGAAAAGCTACTGGCTCACAGGATTGAACCAGCCCTGGTGGTCTAGTGGTTAAAATTTGGCGCTCTCACCACCCAACCTGGGTTCATGTTCCTGTCAGGGAACCACATCACTCATCTCTTGGTTGTCACCTTGTGATGC